AGAAGGAAGGAAGGAAGGGAAGAAAAGGGGGGGAAAAGGGGGGGAAGGGGAAGGGGGAAAGGGGTGGCACTGGGCCCTACCATCCTCAGGGTGTCCCTCGGTGCTCAGCCCCTCACGCCCCACGTCTGGCAGCACTGCTGAGACCTTCTTGAGCCGCGTGTGGGACTTGCGCTGCCGCACCATGAACCCGCCGATGCCTGAAGGGGCAGGGAAGGAGAGGGGATCATCACAGTGAGGCCTGAGGGGTCACAGAAGAGCCCAGAAGGGTTCAGGGCCTGTGGGACACTCACCAGGCCGGTATGGTTTGCGCTTCCTCTTCTTGCACTCTTCAGGGTCCTCCAGCCCCTTCCCTGAGTCCCCATCAGCTCCAACATCACGGTCGGGGCTGGCCGGAGCCTCGAGCTTGATCTCACACTCCATGTGCTCCACACCCACTGCAAGAGCGAGCACACGTTACTGGGGTCCCCTGACACCCCCACACTGCACCCACACCCCCAGCTCTCCCACCAGGAACACCCACCCTCGGCTTTGAGCAGCTCTTCGGTGTCCAGGTCACCGTCCTTCTTGTCCTCAGGGCCCAGGGGGTCACCCCCCTCCAGCCCCCCATCCCCGTTGAGGGTGCCCGGGCGGCCCTTGCGCTGCCGCCGCTTGTGCAGGGGTGACAGGGTCAGGTTGCGCAGCACGGCCATCCCCGTCTCCGTCAGCCACACGCCCTCAAAGCGGAAATACTGGGGCTCTGAGGGGACAAACACCAGCAGTGGGGACAAACTTGGTGCGTGGCCAAAAGAGAGCACAGCCCTGGGAACCCCACGGCCCTGGCACGGCCCCACACATACCTGGATCCTTGGCTTTGATCATCTCTGCGGATGGCGCGGGCACTGTGGCAGGAAAGCAGAGGGGCAGGTTGAGTCTTCACACCTTTCAAATGCCCCCAGATCCCCCAGAACTCCCCCTGCCCCATGAGCTCACCGGGTTTGACCACATAGGGCTGGCAGGCGCTGCAGTCAAAGCCTTCATCCGCAGCCTGCTCCACCTCCTCCTCAGTGAAGAGGCTGTCGCACGCGGCGTGCAACCACCTGCGGGCAGCGGTGGGGAGAACCCATCACACACCACAGCCTCCCCTGGGTGACCCCAAATTGAAGCCCCTCAAGCCCAGGGCACGGTGCTCACCGATCGCAGTGCCGGCACTGGATGAGCAGGTCGTCCTCCACGTACTTCTCGCGGCAGAAGGGGCAGACGACGAGGCTGGCGCAGGGCGCGCAGTGGGTGTAGTTGTTCTGCCACTCGCAGTGGAAGCCAGGGGATGCAGCCCCGCACTGCACACAGCACACGCACCTGCAGAGAGGGGCCCGAGGGGTCAGCGCCAGCACCGAGCTCCCCCCGTGGCTCCCCTCGTGTCCCCCCACGCACCACTTGCACTTCCAGCCGCCCTTGGGCACGGTCTGCAGCGGCGGGTCCAGGCAGTAGGTGTGGTAGCTGATGTCGCAGTCGTCGCAGAGCAGCAGGCGCGAGGGGTCGGAGGCTTTGCCGCACACCTCGCACACGATGCACTCCACGCAGCGCCAGCCCTTCAGCAGCATCACCTTGGTGATCTGGGGATGTGGGAGCCACGTGAGCCCTGGGCATGGCCACGG